TTCCTAGAATTTCTGGGCTGTTGTGGTATTTTTCCTATAAAAACGTTATTGTTTGTATAATTTTATTTAGCTCCATTCAACGTTTTGCAGGTATTGCAGTTGGCACATATTGAATAAATTATCTGAGAAGTTGGATGCAGTGAAATATAGTACTTACTATAAAGAGTTTTACAATTGTATATGGAATTCGAAAAGTAAGGAAGAATTCGACTTAGTTTGGTTAGAACTTGTACAGAGAAGTGGTCTTCAAGACAACAAATGGCTACGATCAATGTTTGAAATTCGTTTAAAGTGGGTGCCTTCATATACAAGGCATGTCTTCTCAGCTGAAATGACCAGTAGCCAAAGAGCAGAGAGTTCTCATTCATTCTTTAAGAAATATGTTTGTGAAGATAATTCAATGGTTGATTTCATGGTTTAGTTTGTCAGGGGACTTCAAAAACAACGCCATGAAGCATTGATTGCAGATAACAAAGATGTGATTGAGAAGCCTAAGCTAAAAATGCTCAACGACATTTTGGTGCAGATGGTTGATATCTACACGAATGAGATATTTTATAAATTCCAAGGTGAGTTTTTAGAAAACTTCAATTATAAATTTCATTTTATCAATGAGGCAGATGCTCATCGAGTGTGCTTGACCCAAAGGAAAAATGTTGAAACAAATAAAGGGAGACAAGTTTCTTATGACAAGGATTTAGATATTGTTTCTTGTACATGCAACAAATTTGAGAGCATGGGCATCCTATGTCGACATATTTTGGCATATTTGCATAAATATACAGATTTTGAGAAATTGCCAAGTCATTATATTTTGAAGAGGTGGAAAAAATCTGCAAAATCTGATACAGTCATAGATCGTGCTGGTATTGAGATAGTTGATGATAAATCTTATTTTTTGGAGCGAAGTAGATTAATTCATTGTTGTTTGGGTGTAGTTAATAAAGCTCTTACAAGTGAAGAAGCAAAAAAAATTTTGATTGATACCTTGTGTAATGCAGAAGAGAAAATTAATTTATTGCTTGGTTCGTCTAATAAAAAGGAAAATAAAAGCAGTGGTACTAGTGGCAAAAGAATAAGGAAAGTAGTTGATAATGTTGCAGATGAAGAAATTGGAAAGGAAATAAATTACGAGGAGGTTGCTACCTACTGTGAACCAAATAAAGTAAGGGCAAAAGGATGTGGTAAAAGGATAAAGGGTGGAAAAGAGAAGGCACTAGGGAATAGTGTGAAAGGAAGATTATGTAAGGGATATGGTGAGCGAGGAGTAGGTCATAATTTAATAACTTGTCCAAGAGTTGTTGGTGTTTCTGCTTCGTAGCCGTGAGATATATGATGTGTTTTTTTTTCCCTGGAATTAGAATATAATTTGTCATGGTTCTTGTTTCATGGTTTTGAATTAGTTGCGTAATAAAATATTAATGCAGTTTTGATTTATTTGAGTGCTTTGAATTTTAATATCTAATTTTAGTATCTAACACAGTGATATGACATAGTGCCTTTTGAATAGAACTAAATATTTCTAAAAATAATTATACGAAGCAAATAAGGATCATGATGGACTTGAACCACCATCTCTTGAGATGTACTAGTACACAACTATTCTCAAGTGCTCTACCATTTGAGCTAATTAATGATCCATTTAGAGTAAAACTGTATTGTTGTAAACACACTCTTACCTTTACCCACTCTTCATTCTATTGTTTCTGCGAGATCCCAGACTCCCTGATCTTGCAGCTGTTGTTGCTAGTTCTGCAGAGAAGTTTGAACTACTCATAACATAACTAGAAAGGGACTGCATTAAGTCATCCTGTATTAAGGCCGGTGCTCTTCAAGTCGTCTTGTATTAAGCAGATGCCTGTAAATTGTAAATGTTATGGATGATCAGAGGAGAAATATAATAGAGGCCTTTACACAAAAATCAGACCACAACTAATAGATAGACACACTAAAGTTGCAGAGTGAAATTATATAAGGAGGTTAACCAGCAGGGTCATTTAGGGACAAGTGCAGAGATGGCACACAAGGGAAATAAACTCAGATAATTAATGACAAGCAGAGATCGGGGGAGAGGGCAGGTCCAAGTGTTTGCACTTGCTAACCCTGGGTTCAAAAAACAAATTACTTGCACCTGGAAATCACCCCTCAACCAGAGAAAACGCCAATAAATATCACCAAACCTTCACACAAAATCATAATAAAC